CAAAGTGTGGGCAAGGGGGAAATCCAGCTCTTTTTTTCTGAAAACAGAATCCTGTCTGCTCCTGGTTCCCTTGGCTTTTCTTGTTCAGGCAGCCCAAGTGTTGGTCAAGCACCTCACAGTTACCAAGAGCCTAGATGGTACACACATGATCCCATGTGGTTCTGAGACTCATCACTGGGGGTGGTTTTCATCCTCACTGCACAGAGGAGGAACCTGTGGCACAGAGAGGGCAAGCACCTTGCTCCAAGAATCAGTGCTAGGAAGGGACCAAGGAGGGCCTGCACCTCGTTGAGGTCCAGGCCTGGCTCTGTCCCCGCACCTGCCTGTAATGAAGTCACCAGGAAGCTTACCTCCAGAGTTTGCTTTTTCAATCTGCTCATTTGCCTGCAAGGAAATGAAGGAGTGTTGGAGTCCCGGGTGGGAGGACCCAGGATACTCTAAGAACTCCATAAAGCAGAGATCCTCAGAGCTCTAGATTCTGTACCTTTTTAAATCCTTCATGCATGTTTGTAGCTCCAGTAGGCACTGTATTCTGAAGTTTATTAAGACCATCACTTATTTCATTTCTGAAAAAAAATCAGAAAAGGGATTGTGGTGGTATGAGGTATTGACTATTAAAAAGAGCCCAAAGCTAACCTTTGTGCACTGCTGGTGGGAATGCAAACTGGTGCAGCCACTGTGGGTAAAATTATGGAGGTTCCTCAAAAAATTAAAAATGGAAATGTCATATGATCCAGTACTGGATATTTACCCAAAGAAAATGAAAATGCTAATTTGAAAAGATACAGGCACCCCTACGTTCATTGCAGCAATATTTACAATGACCAAGGTCTGGAAGCAACTCAAGTGTCCAATGATAGATGAATGGATACAGAAGATGTGGTGTATATATTCAATGGAACATTAGCCAGTCATGAAAATTAACAGATCTTGCCATTTCCAACAACATGGATGGATCTAGACGACGTTATGTCGAATGATTAAGTCAGACAGAACGATAAAATACTATATGATTTCGCTTATATGTGAAATCCAAAAAACAAAACAAAGAAGAAAACAGACAAAAATCAGAAACAGACTCATAAATACAGAGCACTATCTGATGGTTGCAGAGGGGAGGGGACGGTGGGGACGGGCAGAATGGATGAAGGGCAGTGGGAGATACAGGCTTCCGGTTATGGAATGAAAAAGTCACATGAATGAAAGCTACAGCAAAGGGAATATAGTCAAGGATGTTGTAATAATGTCGTAGGTGACAAATGGTAGCTACACTTGTGGTGAGCACAGCATAATGTATAGAAGAGTCAAGTCACTATGTTACACGCCTAAAACTAATGTAAAACTAATGTGTGTCAGCTATACTTCAATAAAAAACGAAAAACAAAACAAAACATCTCCAAGCCATCCTGGAGCCACTGTGCACTGTGCAGACCTGTCTAGTCGGGACAGGATACAAATCAAGTAGCCTGGTCATGACCTTATGCTCTGTGTCCTCGATATGAACAGGCCTTGCTCAGGCCTCCTCTGTCCTCCATCTGGTGAGCATGGTGTGGGGGGAGGCTGCTCTGCTGCTCCCATGGGTATGGCCTGGCTTTTTCTGCACTCACCACTGTCTCAGGCACACTACCTGGGGGACCCTCAAGAGCCCTGTCTTGATCATCCATGGTGAATGTGGGGCACACCCATGGATGTGCCACTGTGAATCTGCACTCACAGTGTAACTGGCAGGGCTTCTAGCACCTACTGGGTCCCTTGGAAAGGCACACTCTTCCTTCAGCAGGTAAGGCTGAGTTTGGAAAAGGTCATCCTGCTGATAGCCCTGCCCTGTCCCATCTTACCCTATCACAGAATCCTGAGGTTGGCTCGTTGCCCTCCCACCACCCCAAAAAAACCACTTCCCCTTCTGGATTGACACCAAAGGAAGAAGCAAGCTGCTTAATGAGAGAACTAGGGCTCCTGGGTTCATGTACTCTTGAAGAAAAAGGCCAAAAGCTGGGGAAGTGCCTTGAGGGCTACCCGTGGAGGGGCAGTGCTCCCCTGGATGACAAGGGTATGTGGCCAGGCGGCTG